ACAAATTGCCACTTTATAAACAAATGCATTACGGTCTTATATACTATGCAGCACTTGAGAGAGTTAGGTTAGCTCTATAGTGACAAATTGCCACTTTATAAACAAATGCATTACGGTCTTATATACTATGCAGCACTTGAGATAGGTTAACTGTAAAGTGACTATTAATAATAATACTAATATTTCTTTCTATTTTTTATTCTTTATTATCTCGATGCTATAGCCGTTCCTTACCTTCTTCTAGAACCGCGCCTTACAGTCCACACCACCATCAAATTTAATAGGTTGCAAAATCTCACATTACTGCTTTGGCGGTAGAAAAAGGGAAAAGTTTTTCTGACGCCAAGTAATGTTCCATACAAATGTACCCAATGATCTTTATGAGATAGAATCATTGGGCCAGCAGCGCCCAGGCGATGGCCTAAACCTCCCTAGAGGAGACCCGTGGCCAGCAGTGAAATTTATAATGGTCTGTGATTCAAGAAATATCTAGTAGTAGAGTTCATTGTGAAAGAATTCGTTTAGGGAAGTACTGCCATCTTACCTATTTCATAATTTTAACGTATGTAAGCATTATTGTGTTCCAGTTTGGAAGGGTAAGGGTGCTGGTGAAATTACAGGCACAGGGGACTTGTCAACTTATGTTTCAGAGTGACGGGCGCAGTGGCAGTGCCCCTCAGATCTTTGCGGATCTGTTATGAACAGGGGTGTCGCTTAACACCAGGCGCACGACTTCTTCATCCTGTCTCATCTTCGGTATCATCAAAAAACCTAATTTTGACCAACATTTAGAACCAAGATTCGTAGAAAAATGAAATAAAACTAAAATAATAAAAAAACACAGCGTTATTTAATTAGATTCAAAATGTCGAAACATGAAATAATAAAAAATAACTTATAAAAACCCAATGTATCAGTCCGGTGGAATGAGGCTTAAACACTATATAGCAGAGACCTGCCCCCGTAGCACGGGGCGCGCGTGCGATAAAATTGAAATAAGCGCGCGCTATTGGCTGTCTCTATTAGATCTAATTTAGATAGTCGCGCGCGTCGCGACTATCATGCGTAGCCATGCTACGGGTGCAGTTATTGATGACGAATCAAAACATGGCATTGCAATAAATTAATCGTATATTCATGATTTAACAACAGTCTTTGTTTTTTCATCTTCATTTTTAAGGTAGTATTTTTCACTCTCATATATTTCTTTGCTATTGCTTCCAGCTCCTTCGTATCCTCCGTACCTAATCGTAAGTCTAACGAGCTGCCCGAACGGCGCTTCCACGAACAACCACAGAGGTACTGCCAACAGAATGCTGAGTACTACCGGTGTTGCTAGTACTTGGGCCTGCAATTAATAATAATAATAACGTATTATCTCCCATGTATTACATACAATTTTAAAATGTACATCAAAGTGAACACAAAGCGGGAGAGTGGTGCCCAAAAAAGTAGACTTTGTGTTATGGAACCCCAGGCTTCCGATTCAGAACCATACTACTTAATTAATTTCAAAATAATCATACAGTTACTGAAAAAGAATAAAAATAGGTAAAGGCACCTGTAGTCAGCCTTTTGACGGGAATTTCAATTTTGAATCTTAATTATTTGTACAGAGAAGGTCGGACAAAAAATGTACCACACTGTTCGATCAATCATTTATTAAAGTTTTAATATAAACAATGTAACAAGTAAAAATCTTCTGTACTAATATTATATTTAGGTTTAAAGAAAAAATTGCACTTTTTCCCAATGGTCAGCCTGTAAAATCCAATATACAGCCTCTTTGTACCCTATACTCAGCCTTAACACTTATCAATAATAATGACATCAAAATCAACAATAATTATATGTGAAAATCAACGGATATATGGGATACGAGTGTATCGGCCTTGGTGCCATTTTTTACTAAAAATAATAAAGACCTCGTTAATATAGTTAAATAAAAAATATATTACCTACCCATACCTACCTACATAATAAGGGACGGCTGGACCCTAAACTAACTGATACCGCAAAACCCAGTGGTCAGCCTTATTAAAAAAATATTTTCTCAAAAGTGTTATGTTAAATTTGAACATTTTATTGTAACGGTTTTAACGATATAATTTTTGTCATGATTTGAAAAATATACGATTTACCCAAAAGTCAGCCCCTGGAGGCTGAGCATTGGATTTCATATAAAAGGCGAAGTCTCCTTTGTCCCTCAATTTGTACGTAAATTAGTGATAAATTATTATAGTATTAATGAAATTGAATAGATAAACTAATAAGTAATACCAAGTGGAGAAAAAACAGTCACAAACAGTTCCTAAGAAAAAAATGGTGGACATAGCACAACGGCTCTTGTCGACTGACGGCACCGGTATTAACGAGTATCGTAATCGCATAATGTATTGACCAATGAGGACTCAAAGCTTAATTTTATCAACTTGCGATTTGTTAATTCAAAAAAGACCGCTATTTATAAGTATTTAAAGACGCAAAAGGCTGCCCACAGGATCCTGCCTGGCCACTGGTGCCCTTACCCTCCTACAATGAAAAGAGGTTGATCTGAATTTGTGCTGCAATCTTTTATTATATTTAATGTAACACCTTTGTCAATGCACATGATACCATGATAAAATAAATTATTAATTGACAAGTCATAAAACTAACAGGCGTGTATGGGTGTATGTATGTTTGTGTATACACATCAGTGTGTGCATGAATTTATAAATTTTGATATAAAAAAAGTAAAAGCCACGGTGGCGTAATGGTTTGATCGACCGCCTCTCACAGCGGCTCTAGGTTGGAACCCGGGGCTGCACCTCGTGAGTTCTTTGGAATTTATGTGCGAAATCTAATTTGAAATTTACCCTGAGCTTTTCGGTGAACGATAACAATGTGATAAAACCGGCACGTGATGAAACAAAGAGAAAGACTTAAATAACAAGTGCTGAGAAGACCTGATAATTTTGGATTTGACTTTGTACATTGAGATTTCCAAACGAATATTATAAATGCGAAAATAAATCTGTCCGTAACGTTTTCACCTCTAAACTAATATTGTTGAAGTTTTGGTATAGAGATAGACGGGACGTAGGAGAAGGATATAGGTCGTCCGAACGTCCATTCCTCCGTGCGTAGTGGCGGAGTACGGTTTCTAATTTGGGCCGGAGCTGCAGTGATTGGCGAAAACAGTGGCGGACTCGTTCTCTTATCGCTCTTTAACGGATCTTACCTGGTTTCCTCCCCTCGGGGGAAGTGCGACTGAGATAACACCTGTGCGCTCGGTGTGAAGTTTGTTGCTACAATTTTAATAACCTTGTTTGCGGTGCTGCCGAGCGATTCGAACCAACGATCCGGAATCCAAAGTCTAACCGGTCGTACACCGTCTACTTGCTTTCACGCGGCGAAATTGGCTGTAGCAGTGAGCGCAGTACGGATGTCACCAACACTACGAGCTACTACGATTGTGGGCGGGGCAACGCAGCGAAGCTACGGCTCTACTACGTGCTACGTGATACGTGCTACGTGAAGTTACTGCACGCAAATTGTCTGCTGCTTGTTACGTCGTGGTTAGTGGGAACTTTTATTTAATTTTATTAAAATATAATATATTACAATATTATAATAATGCCCAAACTGAGACGTTCCTCCCCACCAAGTGCTCAAGTAAAGATTACATCTGAGCTAGACCCGGCATCAGCTTCTACCCCTAAAGAAAGCGTTCTAAAAAACAGTGTCCCGAAGATGCTGATCCAGGGAAGACTAAACTTGGTGAGATTAAATGCATATTGCAAACTATTATTCAGGATCAAGAACAGAAATTCTCTAAATTAACCAAAGAAATGGATATTTGAAGCGCCAAAACACTGAAATACAAAAAACTAATATGGAGATTCAGAATTGGACGGAATTCAGCAGCAGAATGTTTGGCGAAGTACAAACAAAAATGGAAACACTGGAGAAACAAAGAAAAGAAGACCGCGAATACATCTACCACTGGAACAAAAAATTAAGGATTTGGAGATTAATTCACGAAACTCAATTGTCGAATTAAGAAATATTCCAGTCAAAGAAAAGGAGTCCGCAATTGATTTAAACTGTGAGCTCTGTCGACAGCTGCATTCGAGTAGAGATTTCGCAATGCGACATAACAGATCCCTACAGAATTACCAGCGGCACACCCAAGACCATTGTCGTAGATTTCACTTCTGTGCATAAAAGGGACTCATTCCTTCTAGCGACTAAAACTTTTAATAAATCTAAGCCTCATGATGGCAAATTAAATACAAAACTTCTGGGTATTGCAGGTGAACAATTACCAATTTACGTAGCCGAATACCTGCCACCGACTATGAAGAAACTTTTCTGTCTTGCACGACAATTTGCTACGCAAAATGGTTTTCGATATTGCTGGACAGTCAACGGTAAATTATTTCTCCGGAAAGAAAACGTTAGTGAACTTTTTCGTATATTGTCTGAAAGGTGTTTTAAAAAAATTGTCATTTAAAAATTACATTACAAAATGTTTACCTTAGATCTCAATTGACACACACGACGCAATACGTACACTCGAATGACACCGTTAACAAACTAATAACCATATTATATAGCTATTTATTTCTTCTATATGCAAGATATTTTATAAATAGGAAATGAAACTATTTTTCCGGATTTAAATCGCGTATATTTGTTTTTTCAAACAAACCGACGTTTCGGGCCCTTTACAGGTCCCATGGTCACGGTTGACTGAATATATATATATTTGACTGAATATATTTGTTTGAAAAAACAAATATACGCGATTTAAATCCGGAAAAATAGTTTCATTTCCTATGTGTAACAATCGCGAAAACCTAAGAACTCGATATATTTTATAAATATTTACATTACATCCAACACGCTTCTACATAAACCTACAATCTATTTACTGTACCTTTTTTGTAGTTTCTTTACCTTTAAAAATTATTAGCAACACAACGAATAACGTTATGTCTGAAATAGACTCTTTTGATATAGTCAGCTCAGGATTCTAAATTGGAACTTCGACACACGTTACTCCGGCAATATGTTACTCAGGTGGTCACATGCTTACCAGAGGAATGTCTAAAATACATTAATACTCCAAATTGTTCTTTAAAAATAAAAAGCATTTAGGAAATGAAGCTATTTTTCTGGATTTAAATCGCGTATATTTGTTTTTTCAAACAAACCGACGTTTCGGGCCCTCTACAGGTCCTATGGTCACGGTTGACTGAGGTGGTACAGTCTTCAGCCAGTTATGTTTAATATTAATGCAAACTACCCTATTTTTTCACTATAGTTACAATAGTTATTAATTAAATACCTTATTTTTAATTTTACAAAGAAAACATTCCAATTTACGCTACATTAAGTTTTACAAATTATTTTATTGAATGAATTTTTATTAAGTTCAATTTAGTATTAATTAATAATAGAAATTAGAATAAACTAAAACATATTAATTAGTACTGCAGTCTTATGTCTGTTTGGGATTTTTCATCAGTTTTTTCATCCTCTTAAATAGGCTGCTTTTGTCATAAAAATAATTTTATTATTATTATAGGCTACTTTTGTCATAAAAATACATCTTAAAGGGGGTGAAATAGGGGACCAAAGTTTGTATGGAGAACCATTGTGAAAATTTGTACAGTACAGTAGGCTATTGAAAGTACTTTTTTTAATTTTAAAAAATTATAGACATATACATGTTTTTATTGGCATGAATACAACAACACAAAACCACACTAAAAGCACTTTACATACAAATAATTATTAAACGTACAATTACACTTAAAACTAGTTTATAAAGGCAAAGTAGAGGTATAGTATAGTCCGTGTTGCAGCGTCATACCAACATGGGACTTATCACAGCATATGTTCCAGTGTTGGTTTTCAGTAAGTCCGCAAAGTTCAACGCCAGCAAACAATTTACAAAAAATACAAAGAAAAAAATAAGCACGGAAAATTTCGTGTTATAGAAACGTGATCGTCGGGTGACCGAGTTTTAACTGATTACATCAATGTTACTAGATACGAATAGAATAGAGGGATTACTGACCAGTTCCATTATAGAGGTGCCTGTGAGCCTAGTAGATGATCCGGCGATACCGCGGATGACGGTGAAGTGAAGGCAGTACGCGCAATATGCTAGCCGCCACAGCACGCTCCACCCGCTCCATTCCAATATACCGCGGTAGAAGCCTGGTGGAAAACAGTATTAATGTCATTAGTAGGTTTAATTCACTGTCAAAAGGTATAATAATAATCATCATTTATTTCAGATAATTAAAAAAATCCATATCATTTGTTAGTTATACAATCACTTATGAACTAATGTTAGTGTACCTAATGATGTTATGATGGGTACTGTGGAGTATAGAAAAAAGGTGCGCTGCAGCCCGCCAGCGCCCACCATTATGACGCTAGATAACGGTGTGACAGGACGTACTTGTACTTGGTACTTGGTGCAACGGGCTGGTATCCGCAACTCGACGACAAAGCGCCTATTGTGACCGGACGTATCGCCCGTGCAAGTTAAACGTTTTTTTATCTATTCTTTGACATGGCAGTAAATACGTTATGTACAACATTTTGAAGACCCTACAAATTTTTACCTCTTTTTTAATTTAATTTCCACACAAAACTAAATCACATCTTTTGAACCAAATTTTTGTAACAAAATTGTAAACAGAAAATGAAATTTATATAAATTGTGTAACATGCGAAGTAGACGCGAGCCAAAAAACAGGTAGCTCTTAGAGGAAGACAAAAAACGTTCGTGTATTGGCCTATTTTCTCTTCATTATGAATTCGTTCAGCCGGCTGTGAAATAAAACCGTCAGTTGATTGCAATTACATTTATCCACTTTTCACAGTAATTACTTCGAAAGTACAAAAGATGAAACTAGTCAAATCGGTTTTTAAATGTCACGCGCTGAATGTCACGCGGAGCGGCAGCTCGCGATTGCTCACTTTTCAAGTAACTCGCACAAAAAGCCCATCTTATCAAAGCGTGCTCGTTTATAAACCTGTGACCATCAACTACACTCCTTATTTTCGTATAGCAACCATGCCAGCGATCATCATGTCATAGGACCAAGTAAGATAAGTGATTAAAATGAACAGATTCAATGGATACCAGGGTCATCCCCTTTACGATTTGAGCTGTGAAACTGACACAAATATAGTAGATAAAGAAATCAGATTACTAGAGAGACTAATTTCTGTAATAATTAGAAAACAACACGTATATTAGCGAGAATTCACCCCTTTCATATCACGTAAACGACAAACCAGAAAAATGCTATTATACGTACCCTCATACTTGAAGAACATGGCAATTATCATGGCACATATGGCGGCACCAAAGATGGGCTTGACTAGCGTCCCGTAGATGGCCCGCACGAGACGAGAGTAATCGTTCCAGTAGAATGCGGAGCCGGACAGAGAGATGGCGAGCATTGTAGGAAATAGCGCATAGTACAAGTAACGGTTTTTCTGCGTTGAAAAAAATAAAAATAAAAACATGATCAAAGAATACTATGGAGTTTCAATATAAAAGTAACCTGTTGGGTATCAATAGATTTTAAAACTACTTTCTCTATATATTATATTTTATATTTTATATATTTTGAATAGAGGATATTAGGCTAGTTAAACGCAATGCATCGTAAACTGCTCAAAGTTTAAAATTGATGATTTTTGGTGGAACTGGTCCAATAACTTGGATTACACTCAATTCAAACTATAATTTAGGGTTGATAATAATGAATGTAACGTACAATAAACTTATGGAAGTCCAAGCCGGTTTTCTGCCAGCGGTAGACCATCAGGCCAGATATAAGGCCCATAGCATAGCATGCTATGTTGGTATGTGCACGCTTATACACGTGGTTCATGACACTGTCGTTTTTGAAAATGCTGCGCAAAGCCCTGCGAAACCAAATCAATACATACATATTTTATAGACAATTATAATTACTATTAGAAGCAGAAGAGTGCCTTGTGAAAGAGTTTGTGCCGGATAGTACTGCCATACAAATATTTCTGCCGTCAAGCGTTTATGTGAGCATTACTGAATTCCGGTTTTGAAGGGTAAGGCAGCTGGTGAAATACAGGTACATGAGAATTCTCAGGGCGACGGGCGCATTGACAGATCTTCGCAATTTAAGCACTGAGTGACACTGCAACTATCAGGGATAGGTGTGTCGCTTACCACCAGGCGCACGACTTGTGATCCCGTTGCTTGACGTCATAAAAAGCTACTGAGGCTTGCGGTTGGCGGTCTGCTAGCCACGGGATCGTAAGTAATCTATTTGTTTATTAGGTATTCAAGCAAATTAGAACTGATTACACAATTTTACAAGGCACGACTTGATACGCGAGCAGGGACATAGAAGCGCGAGGTGTTGACATTCTCGCGCTTCTATGTCGTTGTGCTAGCTCTGCTGAATTCCAACCCAAAACTGGTGCCTTGAGAGACAGCCACAGAATTAATGATAATGCTACTTACTCAGGAGATGGAACAAGCACAGGGTCCAGGTTCAGCATGTACGTAGTGACAGCAGGGGTGAAGAGGCCTATAATGAAGAGTATCGAGAAAGCTATAATGCGGCCACTCTTAGGGACCATCAGATATGTCATCAGCCCTACTATCGTCAGCTGGAAGTCTGCTGCAACGTACCTGTTGGTTGAAATAACTTGTGAGATGATTCAGAGTCTTAAAAATGGACTATTGTTAGTACATTCGTTCTGATTGACATTGGTTTATAATCTCTACGTATAATAACACGTAAAATCTTAATTTTAATATGTAAAGGGTTCACACAGATATCTTACCAAAATTCTATCATACAAGAAGTAGAGTCGACGTAATTGTTGACGTTAAGTAAAAAGTACCACCAGTCTCGCTTGCAATCATTCGCCTCGGAAGTAACGACATCCTGGAAGATGAAATGGCGTGAGTGGAAGCGTCTGAAACCATTTATTGATTGTCTGGTCTAATTTTTAATGTATATTCACCTGCCAAAGCGGACCCGATCCCGCAAATCGCATCCATGTAGCGGTGATGGCTAAAACGAAGGCGTAGGGTGGCATGAGTCTGAAAGATATTCAATTATGTTACTAGCAAAATAATTTCATATTCCTATTTGTGACTTTCAATTTGGAAAATACCCTTAAAATAGTTCTAGAAAAGTTCTTACCGCAGCCATCTTAATAGAATTCCCTTTGGAAGCATAATCCACCAAATTTTGAGCTGATCCGTCAAATGCTCCATGTTGTAGACTAGTAAGAATCCAGAGCTAATAAAGAAGACCTGCATCACGAGCGACCCATTTGATACAATTTGAATTAACTCGTTCTGGTACAGCTGTTGGAAAAAAGAGACGTTGAAATTTAAACACTTCATTGAAACACCAGTGACAGCCTAATTGGGAGAGCAATTGTCTTATGTGCCTACATCAAACTTTTATTCAAAATTTCAAAATATTCTCTAAAACAGGTTTGTCCTTTATACGAGGGTAATCCAGAAAATAAGTTCCATTTTCCTTTTTTAAATCTAGTTTGTATTTAAAAAAAATAAACTTACAAGATTTTTTTAGACAATATATACGATTTTACCACATAATGTCCGAAGCCCTCAATGCATTTCATATACTGAGAATTAAGCTTTGTTAGTAGAAGCTTCCTGCTCCTCTTTAGTACAGTTGGTGACAGCTTCTTTCACTTCCTCGTCACTTGTGAAACGTTCTCCGGCTAATCCAACCTTTATTTTGGTGAACAGTTGAAAGTCTGAAGAGGCCAAGTCGGGACTCTAATTAAAGTGGATGGGTGTGAACATCTCAACCAAACCAATCCAATAGTTCCGTGTTCGAAACTTTTCGAAAATCGAGTTTTTAGGTACGAGAAAATCTCATGAATGATGGATCGTGAGACCTCTACGCGATCTACGCGAACAGCATTGTCGACTTTTGCCACAAGTTCGCCCGTGACAAGTGAGGGCTTGCCTTTTTCACATTTGTCCTCAAGTGACTTCCCGCCTTAAATTCACGAACCCATATCCCTAACATTGACTCACTTATTGTGTACCCTCCATATACACAGAAACAAGCAGTTGATGAATTTTAACCGATTTGAATGACTTACTGTCACCGTGATTTTAGGTCTATTGCGGCCGTTCACCTCTCAATCTATTCAGAAAGTCCCCTCTGTCCCCAGATTTCAAAAGAAATAGCCCTAGCGACTTACAGACCAAAACGGAACTAATTTTCTGGATGACCCTCGTAATACGGAATACTGTTGCTTCCCGACGAATCTCAGCCAACCCATCTAAAAAATAACGTGGCGAGAGTGATAGGTCGTCAGGGTCGTTGAGAACTTCCCTGGATCGACGGTAAGGCCAGTAGGGGTTTTCCCTAAGAAAGACGTAATAGGAAGTCCGTTGTATGAGTCTAGCATCGCACCTGCCGAAAATTCAGCAGCGATACTTGCAGCAACGTGGCTCTTACCAACTAGGCTACTATCATCGCTATTACCTAGTGAGTTATTATCAATATTAAGTACAAACTGGTGGAGTATTTTCAAAAAAAATAGTTGAATATCATACTATTACACATATATTAGAGAAAACAATAAAAATAAAAAATGTGACTAATAGATCTCTGTATTGGGAATAATTAATTGGAAGTTCCGAAATTACGCAGCTTGATTTTTCACAGTTATTGTGCGACACTAAGCATTGACAAGCATTTGGAAGAATGAAAGCAGAATAACAGCAAAATGCTCATTAAAAAAAACTTACATTTTCTAAGAAATGTGGATTATCAGAGTTAAAATACACAGGCATTGCAGAGTGAGATAGTAGCACCAGCAACATGATCACGCACCTGCAAATATAATGTATTAATAAGAAAGAAGGACAAAAATAAAACAAAAAGATTATTCAATAAATAAGATACTTAGCCATAATTCGTTAAGTGGACACTGAAGAATTTTGTAACTGACACCAATTACTTTGTAATAGCAAAAATGCAAAATGATCTACTAAGTATATGTTCTATATTTTTACCGAACACCGTCTAGTGCCTTGAGCCGTCCCTCTGCTCCAGTGGAACTTAAAAAACATTGCCAGTTGCGCTGGAGTGAAAAGCATTCCAGAAATTTGTTGCCTGTTAAAAGAAAGATCCTTCATTGTTTTTGAAAAAATATATTATACTGCGTTCCGGTTTTGAAGGGTAAGGATACTGGTAAAATTAAAGGCACATGGAACTTTTCAACTTCTGTCTCAGGGTGGCGTGCGCAGTGACAGTGCCCTTCAGATCTTTGGGATTTGAGTGACACTACAACTGCTTTAGACAGACACGTCACTTACCACCAGGCGTACGACTTGTTCGTCCCATCACAAGTGACGGTATCATATCCCCATAGACTAAGGGGGCTTCAAATCGTCTGTGACTTTGGGATATCCACAATACGAACAGTCCGACAATAAATGGAGTCAGAAGGATACCAGATTGGTATTTGGGAGCTCTGGCCCAGAAATGCGAGCAATACTCCATATGGGAAAGTACCTGTGCTTTTACAACAGGAGTCGTTAACCCGGTTTGAAATGCCGCTTCGCTTTATTGGGCACTCGGAGATATGCCATTGAAGCCAGTTTAGGTTTGCTCTCCAAATGATGTCGACTCCAAGTATCCTAATACTCTTAGAAATGATAAGGGCGATGCTCTGGAACTTTAGCGCTTTCACAAATGGGATTTTCTTAACGTGAACACGCAGACTTGTCTCTTTTTTGGGGTTAAATTATACAAGCCTCTTCAGCCCCATTCAGAGCCTTGTTACAAAGAAATCTCGATTTTGAACTCAAGTTGCAGTCTGTTTTCTTCCACTTGCTGACGAGTTATATTCGCACCATCTGTATAATACGCATCACCGGTACTGTCATCTGCATAGCAATGAATGTTACTAGTTAATAACATATCATTGATATGCAGGATGAACAGAGTTGGTGACAGCACAGATCCTTGCGGAACGCCAGCGTTGATGAGCATGACGTCCGAGCATAATCAGTCCACAGAGACTTCTATGCTTCGTACAGATACGAAGCTGGCAATCTAAGTGCATAGCACTTCTGGAAACCCATATGGTAGTTCCAATGAAAGCGCCTTGTGTCAGACCCGATCAAAAGCCTTAGGGATGTCTAAAGTCACAGCCATGGTTTTCCTCTTGCTCTCTCTCGAGAGACCTATCCACTGATGAGTTAGATATGCAAGAAAATCACCATGAGTTAAATATTTTAAATGACTGTACAATTTAAGAAAGAAAACAGACTCACCTTCCTGGCTCTTGTTTGTCTTCCAATAGACGTCGTAAAGGGTTCCGGCAATGTTAAGCAACAATATTAACAAACATATAACAGCTACAAAAATGTCTCCGCTGTCTATATTCTTGGGCTCATCAGTACTAGTACATACAGTTGAATCTTTGACTCTAGTACGGAGTCTATATTTGTCGTAGAAAGTTTTGTTGAGGTATCCCTCAAGGGCCAGTTTTACGTCTGACGTTGTATTGTTATTGTAAAAGTCTTTGCAGGTATCCGTGACGCATATTCCGTATTGTAGTCGCGAGTGATTGAAATTGATTTTCCAGTACGAAGAATATTCCTGTAATAGAAACAAAACTATTTTCTACGATGATCTTTAATAAAATTTGTAGTTGGTAATTTTAGATAAAAATAATCAAAAAACCAAATAAGACGTAGTATGTGTATGCGTGCGTGCGTTCGTGTGTCCTGTTTTTTTTTTATAATACTAAGTGTCGTGACGAACAAGTCGGAAGCCTGTTGGTAAGCGACACGCCAATCCATAACAGTTTTTTATGATACCAAGTGACGGGACGAACAAATCGTGCGCCTGGTGGTAAGTTGCAGTGCCACTCAGAGGTTTAAATCACAAAGATCTGAGGGGCACTGCCACTACGCCTCCTTGAGACATAAGTTGAAAAGTCCCATGTGCCTGTAATTCCATCAGCACCCTTACCCTTCAAAACCGGAACGCAGTATGTATATATGCTCACATTACTGCTTGGCGGCAGAAATAGATAAGGTGTCAGTACTTCCCTGGACGAATTCTTTCACAAGGAGTTTTACTGCTACTAAAATAGGTTATGGGTTTGTGGAATAGAATGTGTGAATGTGGAAAGCAGGTAAAAACTAAAATATAGTGGAAAAACAAAAAAAAAATATTTTGTCATTAAACAATTGTGAAAAATATTAGTAAGTCAAATAAAATCTTGTACCTTAGATCGTAGATTTGTTTGAAGTTTTAAATACACTACAAAAATGATTTTTAGATTAACAATTATTATTCATAAAGTATAAATAATATAGATGAAAAAAAAATGGGGCAGGCAATTGATGTTTTTACTGCCTACAATGTCTGCACCAGATTGCATGCGTCCTTAGCACACTTACTAAACAAATAATTTAGTATCGCTATCTTCAATTTGCAACTGTTTTATTATAATAAACAGAAAAACAGTGTTAAATACATAAATATTATTGGTAACTGACGCGTAGTATGAGATTCTTGTGTTTTATTTACTTTAACATCGTGATTAGTGCATTTTCTAAATATACAAACGACGACATTTTTCTTAAAATTTGAATCAAATTACTAATTCCTCAAATGCTCAAATATCACGTTCGTGCTTTTGATCGACCCAGACTGATTGCAAGAAGCTCCAATTAGGATATTCGAACCTTTAAGACGAGGACGCTAGTAACGTATCTGCTTCTTTTTAAAGTATAATATCATAATGTAAATTTAACAATATTTTGACGATAAACTATTTTAAAATAAAATTAAAATCAGTTTTATACAAATACACTATTTAATTTTTACTTTGACAACTTGTAATATA